TATGGCTTTTAATATAAGTATAGATAAGGAAAAGTTTTCAGGCCAGCCTGCGTTGCGTTTTAGTCCAGGGCAGTGACATTTGTGGAGTTGCCAGGATGTCAGCATTTGATATTTTTGATTTCCGGGTCTGTTTTCACCTAACAACTGTCTTGAATGAAAATTTTCCATCAGAAATTAAAATATTCTCATATTGCTCCTGAATCCTCCTCGTGTCACCTATCTACCTTGTATAGATGTATCTATTCCAATACTAGAAAAAGCCAAAAGGGGGGGCGTCAATAGTTTTTATCATACGTCTAGGACAGCTCCGGTTGGTGTTACATACTTTAACATTAAAGCTCCTTGGACGAGTACATTGGGGTGGTCACAGATGGTGAAGTTTCCTTCAACTAAAATATAAGACGCTATTTCCTTGCATGCGTTTAAAAGCAATTTTCTTTAAAATCGTATTACTGGCCTCTTACATCGGTCAAGATACCAATTTGAATCATGCTTCACAAACATAGTATGTACTGTGGCATGATTTTATGATTTGTACATCAAGTTTAAGATGTACGACTCAATATACTTACACATCATTATTTCAACCATTATATCAAATAAATCATGTCGAAGTTGCATCAATCACCAATACATGTTTACATATAACATGTATTGTGATTTGGCTTTTGTGATCAAACAACTCTAAGCAAAAAACGGAGAAATAAAATGCAGAAACCAACTATAAAATGCTTAAAATGAACTCTAGAACTACAACAGAGCATCATGGTCTCATCCCAAGACAAAAGAGTAGGATATTAATATCACAAAACTCAACTTAACCTCTCTCTTACGCTAAACGAAAGAGTATACATCTAACCAAGGAAAATGGCTAAGCAAAATAATATGTAGAAAAATGGCAAATCAAGTTATACGCCTATTTTAGCAGCCTTCCCTTTTTCTCGCCCTTTGCATGCTTCTTTGATTTTCTCTTGAATCTCTTGCGTTTTCTGCATAAAGGTTGCGTACACAGAAAAAAAAAAAAAACTAAGAAAATCAGAGGTCTAGAAGACCATAATGCCATGATTATCTGCATGTCTCTTAACATTGCCGACGGCATAAACGAAATTACAGTTTGTCTCATGGTGGTTACCGAAAACGAGGAGATATTATACAGACATACATCTGGCGATGTTTATCGTGTTTTGTGCATGTTTTTGTGTGTTTATGTGTGCTTTCGAGTCGATTTTAGGTTTATTTTAGTGTCGACTGGTCCATTTTGTCGTTTATCGTGTGTTTTTATGTTTTTCTCTTCATTTTATATTTTGGCGTACTTTTCCGCGCTTTTGGGGTATAAATTTCAGGTTTATTCCGGAGATGGAGAGAGAGAGAGTCGAGCCATGTTACGAGAGAGTCGAGCCACATTCCGAGAATTTCGAGCCTCAGTCGACTCCACACCGAAGCCCGCGTCTCACTGAACCAGCCGCGACGTCGAAAGCAAGCCTAGCTGTGCACTCGCGAGCTCGCCGAAGGAGCCGCGAGGTCGAGAGCCCTGCGCGGCCCTGCACAGTCCACACTCGCGAGCCCCCTCTTATTCCCGCGACATCGAGAGCTATCACCAGTCGTGCCCGCGTGCTCGCCCAAGGATCCGCGATGTCGAGAGTGGTGCGTGCCTTCGTCCAGCAAGCTCGCGTGATTGCGGATACGCGCGCGACACCGAGAGTTTCTCCTCGCCCATGCGCGCTCGTGCATGCTGTCGCTCGCGTGCTCGCGAAAATGATGGAGATGTCGAGAGTGCCGTATTAAATCTGTATTTTTCTAGTGCGTGTTTTGAGTGGAGTATAAATACTTTTGAGCCTTTGCATTATGAATTATCTAGCTCATTATGAAACATTTCCCTTTTTGGTTCTTAGTTTTAGTCTTTTATTTCTCTCTAGAGTAAGGTGTTGATGCTTATTATATTTTCCGGCGACTTTTCCCGGTGATCTCTCGTTTATGCAAAGTTCTTATCTTTTTCTTCCGATTTCGATCGAGCATGCGTTAGGGATGTGAGTACTTACTTTTAAGCTTTATAATCTCGATTTTCGTACTTACTTGCTATCTCGTGCGTAGAAGTAATTAGGGCTTGCTCGTTTATTAGATTTTTAATAGCTCTTTTAGTTGTTTTCGTTTCCTTTTCT